AAAAAAAAAAAAAAAAAAGCTGCAAGAACTGGCCTTCCAGAGGTCTAGCCCTTCTGTTTCTTATGAGACCCTTTGATTCTAGCTTAAATCATTATGTGTTCATATACTGAGGTGTGTCCAGTCTACATTCCTGGTTTGTATGAACTGCACAGAGTGAAGAGGAATTGTCTTGGGCAGCATATAAAACATTTAATATAATTTATAAAATGCACACAAATAACAAAACTTTCCCATTTTTATAACATAGGCATGTCCAACACACAGATGGAACACTGGGGGAGGTACTGGAGATTGAATTCAGGGCCTTTACACTGAGCTACATCCCCAGCCCTTTTTACTTTTATTTTATTTTAATTTTTGGTACCAGGGACTCAGAACCTTTCACTTGCAAGGCAGGCATGGAACCACTGAGCTAAATCCCAGCCCCTCCCAGCCCTTTTTATTTTTTACTTTTTGGACCAGGGTCTCTCTAAATTGCGCAGAAGGTACTAAAACTTATGATCCTCCTGTCTCAGCCTCCCAAGTGCTGGGATTGAAGGTGTGGGTAATATGCCTGGCAAGATTGGACACTTCTGAGTAAGTCATAATATCTCTTCAAATTCTTTAGGGGCATTTGAAAAGCTTTTTTCAGGGCTGGGGTGTAGATGTTTCAAGCATCACCATGGATTTCCACATTTAAGAGAGAGGCAGTGGGGGGAGGTTACTCAGGGTAGCTTTGCATTTCCACCTGTAAGCTCAGCTGCCCAGTACACAGTAACAAGCCACAGCGTTGTTTAATTTTCAGCTAATTAAAATTTAATACAAACAATTATTTCTCAATTGTCCTGACCAAATGTGGCCAGTGGATACCATATCAGCACTGATAGAGAGTATTTCATTATTACAAAACATTCTCACTGGACAGCTGTGGTCTAAGGTCTGTCATCCACCAGATTATCACCTTTAAGAGCTGCACCCTCTGAGAGAGAAGCCCAGAGACATGCATGAGGACAATGGCACCACGTGGCCCAGCAATCCCACTCCTAGGTGAGGCCAGGAGAGTGAAAGCTTAACAAAAACTTGTACACAGATGTTCACAGTAGCATTATTTATAATATTCAAAAGGAAATAACTGTTGAGTGAATAAACCAATTGTGGTCTGTCCATGCAATGGAGTATTAGTCATTAAAAATAAAGCACTGATTTGTACTACCACATGGATGAACCTCAAAAACGTTATGCTCCATGAAGTAAGCCAGGCACAAAAACACATATATATTGCATAATTTCAACTATATGAAGTGTGAGAACAGACAAATTGGGAGAGACAGAGATTAGTTGTCAAGATGAGAAAATAGACTGCCTAGTGGGCACAGGGTTTCCTCTTGTAACGAGGCTGGAACTAGACGGAGATGATGGCTGCACAACGTGCTAAATGCTCCTGGGTTGTTCACTTTGAAAAGGTTCCCCATATGTCATGTAGACTTAAAAAAAATCTCACATTATAAATGAATATGTAATGAATAATAAGACTCAAGAACAGGCAGAAAAACAAATAGACATTGAGGGAAACTGGAAAGGACAGAGCAGGCCAGAAGTCTGGAAGGAATCTGGTCCCTTCTTGTGCACGCTGCAATGCTTCAGGGCCCTCGGGTAGAATGAGAGCAGGCACTACTCTTGGCACTGCAGCAGTCATGCAGACCACACGAGAGGAGGAGAGGATCACTGAGTTTCTGGGTGGGAACTCTGATGAAGCCACGGTGGCTCTTTTCTGCCTTACTGTACCTTTTTCTGTGTCCTGTGGGGTAGGAGGCATTTCCCTGGCCACTGTTACAGGCACACACACCTTCATTGGGATCATCTTGGTTGCTCCACATACACCCCTGTGGGTGGGCATTGCACTGAGGATGATGAGAGAGGTGCAGGGTTCTGGAAGGGTGAAACTTGGGACCATCCCCACTTGTAGTGTGTGTGGTGCCCAAGACTCTCAGCCCGGGCCCGTGTGTCCCTCTCCTGGGTATGTGTCGGCTTCCCAGCCCATGCCCATGTTTAGTCTCTCTCTCTCCTCAGCTGGGTCAGTTCTTACATAGTCTCTCCTCTGAAATAATTAAAATTAAAACTACCACATGATCCAGCAGTTTGCTCCTGGGTATATGTCCAAAGGAAATGAAAATGAATATGTGAAGAGACATCTACATGTCTATTTATTGTGGCACTATTCACAATAGCCAAGTTCTGGAAATAGCCTAAATGTCCATCAAGGGATGAGTAGATACATCTAGACAAGGGAATACTATGCAGCCTTAACAAGGATGATATCCTGCCATTTGTAACAACATGCATGAAACTATATGCTGTGCCTCAGTAGCCACAGGGTATTGGTTTCAGAATTCTGTTCAGATACCAAAATCCATGGGTGTTTGTGTCTCATATAAAGTGTCATATTATTTGCATACTTCATGTACATACTCCCATATAGTTTAAATCATCTCAAAATGACTCCTAATGCATAATACACTATATGTGCTATGTAAATAGTTCCTATCCTATATTGCTTAGGAAATCATGACAAGAAAAATCTCTGTAAATCTTCACTACAAAGTTTTTTAAATAATTTTATCCTAGGTTCTTTGAATCCACAGATGTGTGGGCCAATCATAAAAGGGAGAAACTCCAGTCATTTGCTGACAATGTGGGTGAATCAGGAGGACATCATGCTAAATGGGACAAACTAGTCACAGAAAGACAAATATCTTGTGATTTATTTCTATGGACTCTCCCACTGAGTTACAAACTATACACTGGTATGTGAAAAGTCAAACTTACAGAAGCTGAGAGGAGAATGGTGGTTACAGGGTCAAGGTCAATGTCATGGAGATGCTTTTAAAATCTCTCAATTACAAAATGGACCGTCCACTTCCTCCTAGTTTCTGGGTTCCCTTAGACTCTGAATTAAAGTGTCATTTTAGGACTTCCAAGAAGATGGCAGAGTGGTGAGCAGCAGAGAAAGAGCCTCTCTGAGATTTGGTGTCCCCTTACACTGGAATAGAGCAGCAAGAGGAGAAGGAGGAGGGAGTGAGTCCCAGGGACCCAGGAAGGATCTGAGGTGAGAATTGAAGTCTACAAGGAGAGTGGAGAAAGAGATTTTAATGAAGAGGAGGGAGGTACCAAGCAGCACTCTTTCCCAGAGTCTGGACTCTCCTAGAGGGACTAGCAGGCCAAAACTGCAGTTGCACAGTGAGTACTAATGACCCCAGAGGCCTCCATGGAGAAACGAACCAGTGGTACCGAGCAATGGATGAACCCAAGTGCAGCAGCTGTTGAGTTTTCCAGGTTCAGACCTCACCCAGGAGAGAGTGACTGGCTTGTAGCCAACTTTGGAGAACGGCCAACTAAGTTTAGAACTCAGAACAGCCTTGGGTAGACTCCATCTAGTGGCTTCCAGTGCCATGAGGATGCTCAGTTCAAGTCAGAAGGAAGTCAGACAGCAGAGTTCAAGCTGGCAGGAGACACAAAGACTGTTGTAGGCTCAAAGAATTCTGTTCCAGCCTCATAGCCAAAATCCGGCCTGAACTTCAGAACTAAAGGAGCAGGCTGGCTGGGATAATCCAGTATCCCACCATGAAACAAGCTAGCTTTCTGGGATTAATCAGTTTGGCTCTGGACTCTGTTTGCCCATATTGCTTACAATGACAGCACAGACACACCTTGAATTGGACATTGGGTTGTTGTTTTTTTTTAATCATTTTTCTCTTTTTTTTCTTTGTTTAGTTTTTTCTTGATTGAACATGGTTTCTAGGTTTTTGTTGTTGTTTTCTTCTTATTTTTATTTTTTCCTTTTCTCTTTTCAATCTGACTTCTTTACCAGTTTCCTAAAGTTTGTCCTCCAGCCTTACATAAAATCTCTTCTGCTTCTTTTATTTCTGTTTTTTACCCCCTATCCCTTTTTAAATCTTCTCCACTAAGGGTAAAAATAGCCATATTAAGGGCTACAATTTGTTATTTCCTAGGCTGCACTTATACTATTATTATTGTTGAATGTACTACTTTAGCCAAGGTGACAAAATTGTGTTTATCAGTGGTTCCTCCAGCATACCAAGACTG